CAAGGCGAGGACGTCAGCTGCCAGGCCACAGCGCCAGGCCCCCAGTTTCATTTCTAACCGACCTGCTTCTCCTTGTATCTTGCTCTTTCCTGAGCTCTTCTTATTTTTTCAGACGTTACACACCTACTGATTCGGGAGGCAGACACGGGCTGTGCTGCAACACTCAGCCTGGGGCTCCCATCGCTGTGCCTCGTCGGGAAGGTGGGCTTATAGTGGAGTGGGGCTCAGACTGGGCTTCCCACACGGGATGCGCCTGTCCCAAGGCAGGCCTCACTGCCACCAGCCAACCTCAGAATTCTGGCTCTGTGTCCACCTGCCTTCCAGGGGCCAGTTTGTCCCTTAGCTCGGACACTCCGTGTCCCTGCACGCAACAGGTGGCGAGGGCGGACTCTGGGCAGATCTGGGCTGGCCTGAGGTGACTTCTTGTCAATGAACTGATTGGAGACTCAGAAGGGCAGACGCCGTGCAGCTGACCTTGCCGGACGCCAGGCTGTGTGCAGCTCCCACCAGCCCACGCCATACACCAACCCTGCCTGCCTGTGCATCCACAGCAGGGATGCAGCCCACCCACTCTTCCACAGTAAGCACCTCCCCGCACAGCACAGCAACACACTACAGAGACCCACGAGAGGCTGGCTGCACCGGGCGGTGGGTGAGGAGGCTCGCCTTCTCGTGAGGCCGCTGGCCCAGACAGCAGGGGGAAAGCTCTCTGGTCAGGAACCCAGGATCCGTTCCCATCACAGCTTGTCCTGGGTCAAAACAGCAGACAGCACAGATGGAAACTGGATGTGTGCTTTCAAAAGCCTCAGGGGTTGGACAGAAGACAGAGAGCACCCAGGGAGGGGGAGCACCCAGGGAGGTGTGCCCCTCAGGACGCTGACCCTGCTGACGGCACGTGGCCATGCCCTGAGTCAGGCCACATGGCAGCCTCGGTCCTGCCAATGAAATGTCCATCCCAGCAGTTGCAGCTATAACATGCAGGTGTGTCTCTGCATCACGGTGCCTCCAGGCACTGGCCACGGCCCAGCAAGGACAACCCCCCACGCCAGACAGCTCGGGGAAGCAGCCATGAACCCAGGAACACGCAGGCACCAAGACGGCTGCAATCCAACACCATGGAGCCTGGTGCGGAGCCAGCAGCATCCAAGCGAGGGGACCCTGGCACATCCTGACCCCGGACAGAACACTGAAGGTCTTCCTCTTAAAGGAACCTCAACAGTGTTCAACAGAAAACTCGAGAACACGGGGACCACCAAGGAGGCAACAAGTGCGTGGAGATAAAAACCTCAGAGGGAGTTGGCAGGAACACGGCACACGGAGCCTGGGAACTGCGGGGCAAGCCTGGGCTGAGCCCACCTTCCCCCACAGAGCAGGGCGCTGCCTACAGCAAAGCTTCTCCCCCACAAAGCTGGGGCGGCTGCGGGAGCCAGGAGCCCAGAGCTCCAGTGGGGCACCACACTTGGGCCACCTTCTGCCACCATGGGGCCATGCCACAAGTCCAGCAGTTCATGCTGAGACATGAGATGCTGTGTTGCAAGCAGGAGCTTAACCCACTGACCCACAACACCAGCCCCAATTCACGAATTTTTACAAAGAACCCCACCGGGAGAAGCCTCGTGATGAACTGCCAGACATAAGAGCCTTGGTGAGTCCAGGCCGAGGCTGTGGGGGTGGTCAGCCACGAGGCTGGGGCTGGGTGGAGGGCGCCAGCATTGCCACGATGCCCATCTTTCACGCCTGAAAGACCGACAGTGATTAAACACTGAAAGCGATCGAACAGTGTGTCAGGGTGTCAGCCGGGCCCCGGGCTCCAGGTCTGGCTTGACACCCTGCTGGGAGAAGGTACTGGTTCCATGACAGAAATGACAACGCCAGGGAGCCAAGGCAGCGGCAGGGCGGCCTGTCGGCCTGAGAGCAGGAGGCAGAGCCCAGGCCAGCCTGCCACCCGAGGCAGCAACGTCAGCTCCACCAGCTGGGCTTCAACAAGTCCCGTGGCTGCAGCAGCCTCGGCCCCTCCCGGCTGCTGGAGCGTGGCCACGGTCAGGACGCCGGGCAGGGCAGCCGTGGTCAGGGCTGGGCCCCTCGCTGCAGCTCTACCTCCGCCCCAGCTTCCTGCCAATGACCACCAAGCCCCATGCAAGCCCCAGACCTTGATGGGCTCAGCTCTGGCTGTTCCAGGCATTTGGGGGGAGAACCGCCAGTCAAATCTCCTTGTCATTATGCCTTTGAATCAAATGACAACAGTACCCACCAAGAGGCAAAAAGGCTGCTGGAGCCAGCGGTGTAGACTCAGGTGGGAGGCCCAGTGGCCCCAACAGAACACAGCAGCCTCCAGCTCCTCGGGGGAGGTAACACCCTGAGCGGTGACTCACCCTGTCCTGGTAGGGTCCCAGCTAGCACCCTCCCCCGATTCCGTCCTGCGTTTCCACTGCTGGTGACTCTGAAGACAAGTAATTCCAGTCCTGTGAAAGACCGAAGTCCAAGGCCCAGCGTGGTAGCCTGGCAGCTAAAGTCCTCGCCTTGCATGCACCAGGTCCCATACAGGTGCCAGTTCTAATCCCAATAGCTCCACTTCCCACCCAGCTCCCTGCTTGTGGCCTGGGAAAGCAGCAGAGGACAGTCCAAAGCCTTGGGACCCTGCACCCGTGTGGGAGACCCAGAGGAAGCTCCTGGCTTGGGAATAGCTCAGCTGTGGCCGTTGTGGTCACTCAGGAAGTGATTCACCAGATGGAAGAGCTTCCTCTCTGTCTCTCCTCTCAGTATATCTGACTTTCCAATAAAAATAAAATAAATCTTTAAAAATAAAAGTTCATATAGAGAGTAATTAGAAGATAATTTCAGAAAAAAACCCCAACACACCAAAGTCCAAGGGCCCTGATCTGTGGGCAGCGATAAGCGCCCTTGCCCGATGGGCAGGGATCCCGAGGGAGGGGCGGCGGGCGCAGGTGCAGCAGACTGACCCCGCCCTCGGCGGGCCCGGGCGAGGCAGTGCGTGGAAGGCTGCCCACCTTCGCTCAGCCTGTACCTCCAGGACACACAGTCCTCCAGGACACACAGCCAGGCAGCCCCCAAAGGGGGACGCTGGGTTACCAAGGTCGTGTGACATCTGGAGCGACTGGCATGGAGACCTGCATACATACTTATTTAATTAAAAAGGAAGAGTTAGGCCCAGTGACTCTGTCCTCGCCTTGCACGCCCAGGATCCCATACGGGCGCCGGTTCTAATCCCACCCAGCTCCCTGCCTGCGGCCTGGGAAAGCAGCCGAGGACGGCCCAAAGCCTTGGGACTCTGCACCTGCCTCGGAGACCCAGAGGTGGCTCCTGGCTCCTGGCTTTGGATTGGCTCAGCTGTGGCCGTTGCAGCTACTTTGGGGGTAAGCCAGGTGGACAGATCTCTCTCTCTCTCCCTTTCTCTCTGAATCTGATCTGCCTTTCCAACAAAAATAAATAAATGTTAAAAAAAATGAGGGAAGGACAAGATCTTCCCGCTTGCCCGCAGGATTCAGAGCCTGTGCCCACGCGGGAGGCGGCTTTGCCACCCACGCCCCATACCAGCTCCACTGCCCGCATTATTAACCAACTCTACAGACCCCTTGGTGGGTTCAAGCCACAAAAAAACCCAGTCACACGCTCACATCTGGGGGTTTGGAAACCGCCGCGGACCAAGCTCAGACCGGTTCAAGTGCAGCCACTGCACTTTGCACCCAGCTGCCTTGCTGGTGGCCTGGGCGAGGGAGACCCAGAGGCGGCTCCCGGCTTTGGCCTCGGCCCGGTCCACCCCCGGCTGCTGCAGCAGGAGGCGAGCGAGCAGCGGATGGGCCATCTCCAACGCTGACCTAACGGGTCCAGCGAGCAGCCCCAGGGTTGCCACGCCGGACCGCGCTCCGGGGCTCCCGCCCGCCCGCCCCGCGCCCCCGGAGCGCCCCGCGCGGGACCCCAACGGCCGCCCTACCTCGGCCCCGCGCGGCGGGCCGGCGGGACCCCGCCGGGAGCTCCCCGGGCGCCCTCTAGGGCGGCCCGCACGCGCCCGCGCGCCGCGCGGCTCCGGAGCCCGGCGGGGTCCCCGGCCTGCCCGGGGCTGGGCCCGGCCCCAGAAGGGGGTCCATTGCGAGGTCGGGGGCCGCGGACGTGGCAGCGGCAGCGGCGAGCCGAGCCTGGCGGAAAGCGAGGTGCGCCCCCGGGGGCCCGGAAGTGACGCCCCGGATGCCGCCGCCTCGGCGAGCCCCGCGCGCGGCCGCCCGTACGCGCAGGACCGAGGGCGCCTCGGGGCGCAGGCTCGCGGCTGGGCCGAGGCTCGCGGCTGGGCCGAGGCGGGCCTCGGGTGCAGGCTCGCGGGCAGGTCACCCCGGAGAGCCCCGCTCAGCGCCGTCCTGCAGCCGGGCCCCCTAAGGCGGTCGCGCCCGGAGCTGGGTGGCCTTTTCGGGGACTTGGTCACTTGCCTTTCTGCCTAGTGCGCGCCCCGTGCCATTCCACCTGTGGTGTGTGTGAACACGGCTGTCTGTCCGCACAAGGCGCCCTCGGGGCTCCTCCAGGGCCTGGGCCAGCGTTCCCCAACCCCGAGTCCTGGGGCGGCCCCTTTTCCCGAGGAGTCTGGAACGCTCCAGAAGGCAGGGAGCAGAGCCCTGCCCTGTTCTTTTCTGTCCTGGTCCCTTCCGGCCTTTCCCCAGGGCCAGGGAGACCTTGGGCGGGGACAGTGGGAGTCTGGGTGGCAGCCCGGTGGGTGTGGGCTGGAAGGGATGGCCTCCCCAAAGCTCATTGTTTTAGGGGTGATCCTCAGGCACAGGGCCATGCCAACCACCCCCCCTCCAGGGTGTGGGTGGGTTCCAGAACCCACCCAGGACTGGCTGCCCCCCTCTGCGGGGTTCTGCTCAGCCTTTCCCTGTCCTTTGGGGGCCCCTGGCACCAGGTGCTAACATGGTGTGTGCGTGTCGCGAGGTGAGGCCCATGTGGGCCCCTCAGTCTGGTCACCAGAGGCCAGAAGTAGAGGAGCGTCTGGTCAGTGGTTTTTTACAAGTGCATTTATTGAAAGATCTGAAAATAGTAAGAAGGCTTCTAACAACAGTTAACAAATTCTGAGGATGTTAACAATGGGAACATTAGGGATTTATTTCAAAAATCCAAAGCTTTCCAGGCCCGTCAGGACCCCGCCACCAGGACTCGCTGTCGCTGGCTGAGCCAACTGCACCCCCTTTCTGCATCTCCCTGTGCTCAGTCTCCTGGCTACCCAGAACTGTGAGGGGGTCATGGGCAGTGGCACTGAGACATAGCCTGTACTTCGCTGACACCCCCAGAGGGACCCCAGAGAGGGTCCCAGGGAGTCCCCCAGCTCCTTCTGTCCATAGGAACCTGCAGTGCCTGGCCTGGCCAGTCCTGACCAACCTGGTAAGAAAACCTAACCAGGGCCCAGGACTCAGAGCGCAGCCAGACACTGTGGCGGGAGGTCCGTGGACACAGCCACAGACAGCTCAGCCACAGCGCCACACGGCTCCCAGGCATACGGGCCTCTGCTCGCGAGCACTGAGCCCTTCCCTGGGCGGCAGCCGCCAGCAGCCACACCGGACCGCACACGCATGTAAACACGGACATCAGACCAGCTCCCTCCCAGCAGTGTGCGAAAGCATATACAGAAACACGTGTGGAATGTGGGGTCTGTTGGCAGAGAGGGGGCCCGACCAGGTTCCACGGCAACCCAGCCAGGATCCCCCACAGCCCGAGACTCACTTCTGCCACCCTAGGACTGTGCCTCTGCCTCCGGCAGTTGCCAGAACTCTGCCTGGGAGGCGCTGGAGGCTGCTCAGGGCGCGTGGCTTGGAGGGCACCAGCCCATCGCTCACATTGCGTGTTCAGAAATACCAAGAAGACAGATTTAAAATGTTAAAAAGTAGCTTGTCTGGTCAGTAAAAGGCAGCTCAGGCAGTGGTGACGCCACAGTGGAGGCCGCAGGTGCACCTGCCTGCCTGGGACCCCCGTGTGCAAGGGCAGCAGAAGAAAACCAAGACTGCAGCAGGCCCAGGGCCCTTGCCTGGACGTGACAAGGCCTAGCCTTCCTCCTCGTCCTCCTCCTCCTCGCCCTCCTCCTCCTCGCCTTCTTCCTCCTCCGGGAAATGGGCCTGCTTCTTGCGCACATTCCAGTGCAGACACTGGGCCAGGCTCTCAAACCAGTCGCTCACGGCATCGCGGACACAGATGGACGGGAGTGGGTAACAAGAGGTAGTGATGCTGATGCTGCGGGCGTGGAAGGGACACGGGCTCAGGGCAGCAGCCTCACGCAGCTCCGCCCCCAACGCTCTGAGCGGCCAGCTCGGACGACCTGGGCTTCACAGCCTCCCAGCCCGCACCTGTCTCCGTGGCGGATCTCCTGTCTCTTGCGTCCATCAAAAGACACCCACGCGGTATTCCTTGCCTCTGGCGACAGCGTGATCTGTCAAGGCCGAGTAGGGAAGGAGTGGGCCCTTGCTCTCCTCCCCCCCCAGCCTGGCCTGGAGGCTCAAAAGGGTCTGGACTGCCCTAGGGCTGGCTGAGTTCTCCCTGCTTGGACGGGGGTCTTAGGGTACCTCCAGGTACCCCTACAAGGTGGTGCTTGCCGTCAAGCAGTGTCAGGAGTTGCCAGAGGCCAGGGTTGGGGACAGCGGGTAGCCGGAGGCAGAAAGGGGAAGCCCCTGAGGCTCTGTCCAGGGCACAGGGTCACATGACTCAAAATGGACCAGGTAGAGGGTGTGCTGGCTCTGACCTGCAGCTCGACCCCCGCAGGGACCACGATGGGCCGGAAGGACAGCGAGTGAGGGCAGATGGGGGTCACCATGATGGCTGGCACGTTGGGGTGGACCATGGAGGCCCCTGCGGCGGCTGCATACGCTGTGCTGCCCGTCGGGGTAGACACGATCACTCCTGACAGGAGAGGGTGGGTGTCAGGCCCCCACCCCGCAGAGCTTCTGGGCCACGGGCTGGGGTCACGGCCTTACCGTCCCCCTGCACGGTGGTGATGAGGTGCCCGTCCAGGTAGACGTCCACATTGGACAGATAGGATGAGGGGCCTCGGTCAATGACGACCTCATTCAGGACCTGGAGGGGCATGAGGCAGGCGTGTCTGCCACGGCCGAGTCCACAGACCCGATACCAGTTCTCTCCCGGCCAGGGTCACCACAGCCACGATGCCACAGCCGAGCCCACAGACCTGGTACTGCATGGTTTGCTTTCCTGTCTCCGTGTCCAGGCTTGGGGCAGGCACCCCGTTCTCGCTCAGCCCGTTGTGGACAGCCACCTTCTTCCCTCGTAGCTCTTTCACCACTCTGACCTTCAGCCGACTGCGCAGAACCACCGCAGCATTCCCTGGGGACCAGTGGGGTCAGCAGGGCCCACCCGGGGAAGGCCAGAGGGTCAGCGGCCCACCGTGAAGACGCACGGCCCCCTCTGCATCTCAGGCAGGAACACCCAGGACCCGTGCAAGAGCGTGGGCCTGCTGGCCGCTGCCCCACGGGCCATCCACGGATGACTGTGGCCAGGGCGGCCCAGGGCCCCAGGGCGGCTGACTCACCCTCTATCACTTGAGCAACTTGGGACTGAAAGTTCTCAAAGTTGAATGGGGTCAGGAAGCCCAGGGAGCCCAGGTGGAAGGCCATGACCGGAGGCACACTGCCCTGTGACAGGGAGACGGGCCACTCAGGACTAGGTAGCAACAAGCCCCGGGCCCTGGGGACTCAGTTCTGTGGGGCCACACCCCAGAGGAGCCCTAGGCCAGGCCAGGCCTTGAGCTCCCACACGGGCACAGGTGCGGCCAGCGCTCAGAAGGCCCCTCTGTCCTCCCAGAGCAGGAGGGACCACACAGCAGCTCGCATCTGCCGGACAGGGAGCCGGACAGAAGCCGGCGTGTCCTCAGGCTAGCTACCCCCTTCCCGCGCCGCCACAGTCACCTGGAAAAGTGAGGATGCGTACAGCAAGGTCCCGTCCCCCCCCAGGCAGATGATGAAGTCTATCTGGTTGGAAATGTCGTCATAGTCTGCAAGGCAGGAGGCCTGGCTGTGCTGCTGCCGTCCCTGCTCTGCCCGCAGGGTCACCCGGCCCTCCCCCGCAGGGTCACCCGCCCTCCCCCGCAGGGTCACCCAGCCCTCCTCATCCCCCGCCCCCTCCCCCGCAGGGTCACCCGCCCCTCCTCATCCCCCTCCCCCGCAGGGTCACCCGCCCCTCCTCATCCCCCTCCCTCGCAGGGTCACCCCGCCCCGGTGCTCACCCTCCTGGAAGGTGCAGAACTTCCTCTTGACAGGCCCGAAGCTCTCGTCACCCGCGATGGCTGGGTCCTCCAGGGCTTTCTTCTCCACGTACACGACCATGTTGTTCTCCTGGAAAGGGGTGCACTTGAGCCCAGGGCCGGCCTGGCTCCAGCTCCCAACGAGCCTCGCGATGTGGCTGGGCAACCATGGAGCGTTCCTGGCTCTAGGTCGCCTGCCGAGGGCTCTGCTGGCAGGTTCCTGTCCTGGGGGTGGCTGTGTCTGGCACCCCCTCTCCCAGCAGCTTCCTGCCATAACTGACTCCCACCCATGACCACAGCAGTACCCTCCTGTAGTGGCTTGGGGGCTGAGGGTCCCCAAGGACACCTGCAGGGTGCTGTGAGGAGACTGCTGTGGGGACAGCCACCGCCTGCGTGCATTCCACTGGTGCCACCAGCAGTGAGCTATGGTGGCACTCCCTGGGGCTCTGGGGGGCAAGGGGAGCCCAGGAACACATGTGGCACTCACTGCTCTCGCCAGCATGGCCATGGAGGTGCAGCCAGAACCAGGAGCCAGCCCGACCCGCCCTGCCTATGGAGTGCTGCTCCAGTGCCAGGCAGCTATGGGTCAGTGTGTGAGGACAGGGGAGTAGGAACCAAGGCCATGGCAGCACCCTTAACTGCCTGAGCAGGCTTGGCCGTGCGGGGTTCCATGGCAGAAGGGCAGACGCGGGCGGGCAGTGCCCACCAGACCAGGTTCCACGGCAGAAGGGCAGACGTGGGCGGCCAGTGCCCACCAGACCAGGGCTGCTGCTGCTTTCATTTCCGGCAAGGGGCCAGCAGAGCGTGGGGCGCAGCTCCCACCAGCGGGCACTCCTGCACTTGGGTGCACCCTGTAGGAGACCCCGAGCACATGCTGGCTCCCGGCTCCTGTAAGGTCCTGCTGTGTCCACGGCAGGGCCAGAGGAGCAAAGCAGCAACGGGCTGTACCGAACACACAGGAAGGCCAAGGCCTGCCCTGCTAGCTGTGGGCATGCGCCGACCAGCTGCCCTTTTGTGCCCACCTAGAAAGCTCCCCTGTGCCTGCCCCCCCACTAGGCATTGTGTGGAGCTGGCCAGGGACCTGGGATTGCTGGGGACAGAATGTCCCCACCATGGCCAGGGCACTGGGGGCCATGCTGACGCCGAGGGTGGAACTGCCCCCTGCCAGGGGCCAGCCCTGTGGCCAGGGCCTTGGGGACTGTGCTGATACCGAGGGCAGACTCACCTGCACCAGGGGCCTTGGACTCACCTGCACCAGGGGCCTTGGAGAGGCTGGCCCCGTGGTCAGGGCCCTGGGGACTGTGCTGACACCGAGGGCAGACTCACCTGCACCAGGGGCCTTGGACTCACCTGCACCAGGGGCCTTGGAGAGGCTGGCCCCGTGGTCAGGGCCCTGGGGACTGTGCTGACACCGAGGGCAAACTCACCTGCACCAGGGGCCTTGGACTCACCTGCACCAGGGGCCTTGGAGAGGCCGGCCCCGTGGCCAGGGCCCTGGGGACTGTGCTGACACCGAGGGCAGACTCACCTGCACCAGGTGTGCACAGAGCTCCTTGAAGGGCTGCAGCAGGCTGGCATCCCGGATCTTCTTGATGACCAGGACACTCCTGGGGGGCTTGCTCCACGTCAGCCGCTGGCGCGCAGGGTCCTGGATGTGCCTGGCGGAGGAGACAAGTCACGCCAGCTCTGCACATGCTCTCCAGACAAAGGCCCACACGCCCTGGACAGGACACAGCCGCCAGCTGCCAGGTGCTGGCTCCTGGACAGGCTCAGCCACATCTGCTAGGTGGTTGCTATGGCACCCACCTCTCACCTCGGCAGACTCAACCCGGCAAGCACCTGCTTGCTTACGGAGGGACGCCCAGGCCAGTGTCCATGGCAGCTGCCTGGGACTCTCCCCCGGCCCAGGACCTCCCGTTGTGAGGGAAGCAGGGAAGCCAGCGGCTCACCCCATCAGCTCAGGACCAATGCCACACAGGCCAGGATTCCTTGCTCATTGGCTACTGGGCTATGGGCCCTGCCTCTGGAGGAGGCAGAAGAGTCGCGCACGGGGGTGGGGAGGCAGTCCGGGAACCGAGAGAGGGAGGGAGGGGATGGCTGTCCACTCCCAGCGTGCCGCCCCCAGTGGAGAAGTGCTGAGGGGATGGCACGCCTTGCTGATGCGGGGTGCCAGGGAGAGCGACGGCCAGCCAGCCCACAGCACTTACCCTCTCCAGGCGTCGCCAGGGGGCGTGGGGCCACCCATGACACCTCCACGGGCCTCCTGCTCGGCCCCGTCAGGCACATGGCTTGCAAGGCACCGCCCCCTTCCAGGAGACGGCCGACGGGTCCACAGCATCCTGGTCACACTTTGCTAGCGCCAGCTGCACACACAGCCCTGCCTCACCAACACCCTCCCGGCTGGGCATTGCACACTCATCAACCTATTCTCTGCACCATCAGAACCAAAGGCAAAATGTTGTAGAGTGATTTATCAAAGTTTTACAGAAACAACCAAGCTATGAGTTTCCTGAAACTATAAAACCAGAGTTTTCTGACCATCTGCATAGTCACGCATGGAAGGCCAGCACGTGCAATGCCCACAGCCCACACCATGCTCCAGCTCCTGCTCACAGACCCGCAGGGCAGCAGGTGGCCCAAGCAACTGGGTACCTGCCATCCACATGGGGAGGCCTGTGGCTCCCAGCTCTGGCGAGGCCCAGCCACCGCAAGCACCTGGGTAATCACCCAGCAGACACAAGCTTTCTCCACTCCTCTGCCTCTCCAACAGGCAAGAACAAACCTAGGAACGTCATCAGGGCCCACACGCACGGCCAAGAGGCCAGACTTTACCCCTGCTCCCGGCCGTCGTCCCGCTGGCCTCGGCTCCAGCACCATGACTGCGCAGCCTCTCGCGGGCCTGTGGAACCGGCCGGGCCGTGGGAGGGTTCTCGGCCACTGGCAGGTGAGAGGGCGTGCACTCCGGGAGCCCGTGACCGATCAGCACTTGGCAGAGCCCGGGGCACATGTGGGCGGCTCACGGCCCTCCGCCCAGGGCAGAGGTGACACTCACCCACACGCGGCTGACCCAGGCTGGGCCCCGCCCGCGGCGTCAGCTCAGGCCTGATCACAGACCAGTCTCTTGGCTTCTGCTGGGTCACTTGAAAAGGCGCTGAGCCTGCCAGCAGGCTACAGCTCCATTCTGACTGCTGAGCACCCGGTGGCTTCCAAGGGACTTCTCACGTCAGGCTGGGTCCTTAGGGGGCACTGCACAGTCCTGGAACGGGCCCCCGAGGTGGGGCAGAGCCAGCCAGTGGCCCTCCTCAGACCCTTCCAAGTAGACGCTGCCCACCCACTCCTCCAGCGAGCTCATCGTGGAGGCCACTACAGGTGCACGGAGGCCAGGAAGTGGCGTCCAGGGAGTGGCTCTTCCCAGACCAGGAAGTACAGGGAGGGGACCTGCTGGCTTGGAGCAAACAGAGGGCTGGCAGTCCTGGGAGGAGTGGGCATGGCTGCTGGCTTCACAGTCCTGCTCGGAGAGCCTCAGCCTTGGGGACGAGCATGGCTGAACAGATGGCACTGCGAAGCAACGCCTGAAGGCTTGGAGTCTGCCAGAGTGGGGTGGCCTGACCACAGCGCAGTCCTCACTGTTTGGGGTTACGATCTGGGGTCAATGCCAGAAGCAGAGCATGGTCGGGTCAGGTCACAGCCTCGGCCCGAGCTGTCGGGGGAGGGACCAGCCAGGCCACAGAACCTCCAGCACCAGGAGCCCTGGCTGGTCCTGGGCCAGTACCAGGCACGGTCCACAGGGCAGCCCCCAGCAGACAGCCCAGGTGCACTGCCTGGGGAGCTCTCTGGCCCAGGGCACACCCTGGCCTCCTAGCCCCAACAGTTGCCTTCTGTTAAGCCTCCTCTTTCCACAGAACCGGCCCTGAGCATCCGCCACCTCCTAGGACCTGTCCGTGGCTGCGGCTCTGCAGGGAGGATCGCACCGGGTAGGGGCAAGGACCCCCGCAGCTGAGCACAAACGCCACGTTCATACATGAGCACAGCTCAGAGTCATCTGCCCTGAGACCGCAGACCACAGACCCCAGCTAGAACGGCACAGGCAGGCAGGCACTGTGGTCAAGGCCAAGACCCCAGGCTCATGAGGCCAGACCCATGGAAGGGTAGGGTATCCTTCCAACAAGGAAAATCAGATGCAGAAAGCTAATCGGTATTTCCCTATCTTGGACTAATTACAGGAGAGGCAAACTGGCCGCACCCTGCACACCAGAACAGGACGACCCGGGCACAGCCCAGGCCACGGGGGCCAGTGCGGGAGGCCAGCCTCCAGCGGGGCCAGTGTGATAGGCCAGTCCCCAGTGGGGCCAGTGCGGGAGGCCAGTCCCCAGCGGGGCCAGTGCGGGAGGCCAGTCCCCAGAGGGCCAGTGCGGGAGGCCAGCCCCCAGTGGGGCCAGCGTGACAGGCCAGTCCCTAGTGGGGCCAGTGCGGGAGGCCAGCCCTCAGTGGGGCCAGTGCGGGAGGACAGCCTCCAGTGGGGCCAGCGTGACAGGCCAGTCCCCAGTGGGGCCAGTGCGGGAGGCCAGCCTCCAGTGGGGCCAGCGTGACAGGCCAGTCCCCAGTGGGGCCAGTGCGGGAGGCCAGTCCCCAGTGGGCCAGTGCGGGAGGCCAGTCCCCAGAGGGCCAGTGTGGGAGGCCAGCCTCCAGCGGGGCCAGTGCGGGAGGCCAGCCCCCAGTGGCGCCAGCGTGACAGGCCAGTCCCCAGTGGGGCCAGTGCAGGAGGCCAGCCCTCAGTGGGGCCAGTGCGGGAGGCCAGCCTCCAGCGGGGCCAGTGCGGGAGGCCAGTCCCCAGTGGGGCCAGTGCAGAAGGCCTGTGCCCAGTGGGGCTGAGGACACCCCTGTGGGGCTGAGGACACCCCTGTGGGGCCACCTGGAGGAGTTCTGTGCCCAGTGGGGCTTGGGGACATCCCTGTGGTTTCGTCAAAGCCTCCGGACACACACACTGTTCCTTCTCTTAGAGCCGTATACCACGTCACCCCGCAGTCCACACACTCCCAAGGGGTACCTGCCCTAGGGCCCCTGCGACTCACATGATGGTCTGGGGGTTCTGAAGCACGCAGGCCTTTGGTCCAAAAGTGGTCACTGGGCAGGGCCCATGCAGAGAGCGCGTCCTCCTGTAAGGCACACAGGGCAGCAGGGGTTGTCAGGGCTGGGAGGCCAAGTGTGACTCTGAAAAGCTCTGAACAGGGTCTGAGGGGTGCACACCTGGGGGGGGGGGCAATGCAGTCAGCCCAGGGACACAGGGCGGTGGGGGGGGGCGTGCAGTCAGCCCAGCCCAGGGAAATGCTGGCTCAGGACAGCCCTAGGGAACTGAAGCCCCGGGGGCCTGCGGCTCAGCGCCCCTCCCTGGGAGCTCAGGACACTCAGGGGAGGCTTCTGGTTTGCACCAAGGATCCGGAAGCCACAATGGGTGTGTGGGCCATGTCTGTGCCTGGTTGCAGGTTTATGCCCGGGTCCATGCCATCCGCACGGGGAATTTGGATGACAGCGGTCCGTAAGTATCAGGAGTGAGCCAGGCTGGGGAGCTCAGCCTACCTGTGTGTGCCTCCCTCTGCCTTTCAAATATGTAATTGCTTCAAATCTTTTTTCTTTTTAAAGATTTATTTATTTTTATTGAAAAGTCAGATATATAGAAAGATCCTCTGTCCACTGGTTCACTCCCAAGCAGCTGCAACGGCCGGAGCTGAGCCAATGCAAAGCCAGGAGCTCTTCCGGGTCTCCCACGCGGGTGCAGAGTCCCAAGGCTCTGGACCGTCCTCGACTGCTTTCCCAGGCCACAGGCAGGGAGCTGGATGGGAATCTGGGCTGTGGGTACATGAACTGGTGCCTATATGGGATCCCAGCGCATGCAAGGCGAGGATTTTAGCCACTAGGCTACTGCACCAAGCCCTACAATCTCTTATTCTGAATCACACGGAGTCACTGAAACACCAACTTTTCCAACAAAAGAAAAGCGATTCTGACACAGCAAATCCTGGGCAAAGCCTCAGGGGCTGGTGCAGGTGCTGGGCATGGGGCCAGCTCACTCCCCAGCAATGGGCCGGAGGCATGCCCCTGACTCCCTTCTGCTGGGAGCCATCTGAGGCACAGTGTCTGGACGGGCTGCAGAGCGTGGCCACATCCGGGACCCTCTGAGCATGCATCTGGTCTATTCCACTAATGGTTGCAAGAACTGAAGCCAGGTCGCTCTGGAGCCACAACTTCCTCTGTCTCCCACACGGGTGCAGGGATCCAAGTACTTGGGTTAGCTGCTGTTTTCCCAGACCATAAGCAGGAAGTTGGATGGGAAGTGGAGCAGCCGGGACTAGAACTGGCGCCCACATGGGATGCTGGGGCCACAGGCGGAAACTTGGCCTTGCATGGTCCCACCGCCCTGTGCTCCCCGGCCTGTCTGGGACACGGGCTCCCTTCTCTCCTTGGCCCTCTCCAGGCCATCCACAGAGGTGGCTGCTGGCCACTGCCCACGGGCAGCAAGGCAGCTCTGTAGAGCACGCACAGCACCGGCTGCTCCGTGACACAGACACGCGGCCCCACACAGCAGGGACACTCCTGCCCAGACGGGGTTTGCCATCACCACTTCTTGTTTGGTGCTGGAGAGGTGACACAGTGGGTCACGCTGTTGAGATCACACTGGCTGCTTCAGGCTTAAGTCGCGGCTACTGCGCTTCTGATCCGGCGCCCTGTGAGTGCGCCCAAGTCCCTGTGCACCCATCGGGCAGATGTGGAAGAAGCTCCTGCCTCCCGGCTCCCGGCTCCGGACACCAGCTCTGACCTACACTGGTGGTATAGCGGTAAGCACAGCTGCCTTCCAACTGGAGAACGAAGCAGCGGGTGGGAGACTTCTCCTTTCCTATTACTCTGTGTTCTGAAACATCCTTTAAGAACATCCCAGCCACAAGCAGCTGAGCTGCGGGCCACGGGCGGAACCTGGCGGAGCAGCTGAGCCAGCCTCTGGCAAGTTCCCATGGCCAAGCCCCCGTGGCCCACTTCAAGGGGAGAGGCCCCGTCCACGGCGCGCAGACATCGGCCACCTAGACCCTGTGTAAGCACCGTGTGCCCAGGCCCCGTCCACGACCCGTGGCCAGGGGGCAGCCCGCCCCCAGCAGCACCCACCAGGCCATCACTGGCCGCCTTCAGTGTGCACGCCAGCCGAGGGTTCTGCCACAAACCAGGGGCCGTACCTGAACTCTCTGGTGCTGCCCGCGGCCGGCGAGGCTGACAGGCTGCGGGCCTTGGCCCGGCCCCGGGTGGGGGGCACGTCGCTCCAGGCCTCGTCCCCATGACATGCTGAGCAGTGGTACTGGGCGGAGTCTGGACTTAGCTCCTTGCCAGCGTTCATGTTTTCCTGTTCCGTTCCTGAAGTCGGTCAGTAGTAACTTTGGACAGAAAACCAGTGATAGCGCAATGTAATCATTAACAAACGCAGGTGCACAGAGCAGCGATAACCACGCGCCTGCCCGTGACAGGAGGGAAACAACGCGGCTGGCCCATCTGCCAACCACCCCACCCCCTGACACGGGAGGACCGGCAACCTCCCCGCACACTGCAAACCCTCCCGAGACCAGCAGTCACCGCCCAGGGAGGGGGCATGGCCCCGAGCAGCAGAGCCACGCTGAGCCACCATGGTCGAGCGTGCCTGCCCGTTTAGGACGCCAGGCCCTGCAAACAGGCTCTGGCGTGTCCCAGAGATGCTCAAACACACAAGCTCCACTTCTGACCACAACAAAAAAACCAAGAAGAGCACGGCGGGCCAAGCCACCATGTGCAGCGTTGCCACCTTGGGTGTGCGTCATCGACCCACCCCACTGTGCCTAGGGTTCAAGTGTGGGCCCCCCCGACGTGGACACGCCAATGGAGCAGCTGCGTCCTGCCTTCGGGTGGCCCAGCTCCAGCCTCTGGGCCAAGGTATCCTTGCAGAAAAGCGCAAAGTGGGGAGAGAGGACAGACAGCAAGCAGGGCGTGGACAGCCAGGCCACACCTGCTGCCCCTCAGTGAGCCAGCCCTGCCAGAGCAGCAGCTCCGAGGGAATGCAGCGGACACGCAAGTGGGGAGCTGTGCTCCAGGGGCCCTGCACTCGCCAGCACCCCTCCTCCCGGCCGGAGGGGAGGAGCACACTGCCTCGAAAGAATGAGGGGTCACCCTGCGCAGACTCTCGCGCCCGCTTGAGGTGCTGCACACGGCCGCTCCCGGAACTCAAGTGTCCTCACTGGAGAGCCGACAGGCAGAAGAGGCCTGCACGGGCAGCGTGGTGTGCCAACAGACAAGCCTGGCCCCACATTCCCGACACCGCGCGTCCAAGAGCTCCACAGCAGAAAAGGCAAGGTGTGGGCACAGGGCACAGAGCACAGCCAACTGTGGCCGAGGGATGCGTCAGACTGCCAGGCTGGGAAATAAGGACGCTTGGTCCAGACAGACGCAAAGTGAAAACCAGAACTGCTGAAAACCTGAGCTGCTACTGCAGGCCACTGGGCACGCTGACCGCCCAGAGTACCTGCCGGAAGGGAGCCCACTGGGCACGCTGACCGCCCAGAGTACCTGCCGGAAGGGAGCCCACTGGGCACGCTGACCGCCCAGAGTACCTGCCGGATGGGAGCCCACTGGGCACGCTGACCGCCCAGAGTACCTGCCGGAAGGGAGCCCACTGGGCTCACACAACTGCTTCCTGAAGCCAGGGCGGCAGAACAGGGTCCCTCTACCCGCTCAGTGCTCAGGTCCTGACAGACGGCTAAGTCGCTCAGCCCAGGGGCTCTCGGGGAGACCGCAGCAGGTCACATGCCAGCCCTGCTGCAAACAGCCCGAGGTGTCAAGGCCGTCCTGGACACCAGGAGCCTCAAGCCACGGCCACACCCCAGCCAGCAGTGAGACCCAAGGGCGCCCGCCAGCACCCAGGGAGAAGGGGCTCCCACGGAGGGACCCTCTCTCCTCTACACCAAGCTGTGACTTGAAAAAGTAAACCATCTCAAGAAAAGGAACGCTGCCTCGAGAACGGACGGCAGGGCGGCCCCTCAGGGCTGGCCTCTCTCCTGCGGGCAGTGCGACCGCGGCCTCGACCTTCGCTCCTCTCCCCCACCTCCGCGTGCCCTCTCATCCACAAGTTCCCCAGAACTTGAGCTCTGTTCCAGCAGCCGACGCGCGGCCCGTGCCGCCCAGGGCAGGGGCAGCGGCCGCCCAGCGCCCCGTGCGCCCGCCTGGGGGCTCGCTCTGCTCGGGCGCACCCCCGTGCCGCTCAGCCCTCACAAGGAGCACCCACGCTCGGGGCGGCGGGGCCCTCTCCCGGGGACGCCGACATTTTCCCCGGCTTGTTTTCCTGGAGCACAAGCCGCGCCTCCGGCCACCCCGGGAGTGGCGGCGGGGTCAGGGCTCCACGCCGGGCGGGACCGGGGCCACGCTTCCCGGGAACCCGGAAGCGGCGGGCGCCGCGGGGGCGCGCCCGGGGCTCGGCCCTTCCCGCGCGGCCCGCTCGGGGCGCTCACCGTCCGCCGCCGCTACCTGGCCCTCCGCGTCCCCGCCGCCGGCCGCCCCATGGCCGCCCGGACCCGGCGCCGGCGCCGCCGAGCAGCTCGGGGCCGCGGCCGCCCAGTGCGCAAGCGCGCCCGCCACGCACGCGCCCTGCCGCCCGCCGCGCACGTGGGGCGGCCGGGCCCCCGGGGCCGCACTCACCGGGCGCGCCTGCCGGGCCGCCGCGTCCAGGCCTGGGGCCCGCTGGCCGGCCGGCCCTGCCCCTCGGCCCGGGGCCCCGCCTCCGGGTCACGCAGGCGCCGGGTGCGGCGCGCGCTCGGGCGGCCTGCGCGCGCTGCGGCCTTCGCGCGTCCGAGGGGCCCTGGCTGCTCCCGGGAGGCGGGAAGCAGGGGCCGAGGCTGCGGGGCGCAGCGCGATGGCCTCTTGGGGCGCTGCCCAGGGACGGCCTGGCCAGGGACTGAGCCCCCGCCCCCTTGGGGCCTCAGACTCCGTGCTGGGCCCCTTGCCAGGCCGTGCGGGCCGTGCGGCATCTGTTGGCTTCGGCACAGCCTCCCTTCTCCCAGGCCCGCTGCCCTGCCGGCCTCACTCCTTACCTGCAGGCCCCGGGCCCCGGGGTCAGCTGCTGCCTCCAGGAGGGAGGCTGGCAGGTCGGGGCAGGCGACAGGCAGGGCCCGCAGGAACCGGGGATTTCTCAAGCCAGGCCACTTCCCCCTTGGCTGCCTCAGCGCAGCCCTGCCCTTCCCACCCCAGGGCAATGCTGAGCCTCGCCCAGCCTGGCAGCTGCCCGCTCCTGCACAGGCCCGCAGCCCTCAGGGGTCCTGGGGCTGGCAGTGATGAGAGGAGGCCGTGACCTAGTGACCTCGAGGGGAGAGGGCTCGCACCCAAGCCCCAAGCTGATGCTGGCTGGGAGAGGCACCACCCACGGAAGTCCTGGGAAGCTGGGCAGCCCCGGACATGACCCAGAGGCTTGGACAGCAGTCCAATGCAGGGCGGAGCAGCAGTTGTCCCTAACCCAACCCTGGGATGCCCTCCAGGTGGAGATGGGGCTTGGGGTGGGAGGGCGGCTCCAGGCCCTGGGTGGCTGGCCAGACAGCACTTCCCTCCAGGGATGTACCCAGCCTGGGGTGGGGTCGCGAAGCTGGCTTCAGCTGGCCTGCAGCTGCTCAGCACCCAGAAGGGGATGTGGCTGTGGAGGTGTGTCCTGAGCTGTCCCCAGGTCACCTCACACACAGTCAGCACCCCTGGAGCAGGCCAGGTCCAGCTTCCAGGCCGCAGGCATCCAGGGCCTGGACAGGCAGCCTGGCGGGGGCAGCCTCTGTGGGTCCTCCGCCTGAGCAGTAGGGCAGCAGACAGGAAGTGGAACCAGCAGCAGTGAGGAGGGGCTGTGGCTCTGACAGTGGGTGCCAGGCAGGCAGATCCACAGGCCGCCATGTCTAGGCAGGAGGACCTTGAGCCCAGACTTGGGCGTGCCAGCCAGCTGTGCATTCAGCAGGGGCCAGTCCCCTCAGCGGCCAGTGGCAGCCACACTGGGTGACCAGCCTACATCGCACAGGGGGAGTGCACAGGGCCCTGCTGCAAGTTCCTTGGTGAGGGTCTGACTCTGCTAGGTCCAGGGTGGCCCCACACTGTGTAGGCTGCATGGCATGCGGGGTTGGGACTGGCAGCTAGCACCTGCTCGGCAGGATGGAATGTCTTTGCCAGCCTCCACACTTGGGACCCTGCTTCACCAGGCAAGCGGGCAGGTCCCAGCCATTCCCTGGGAGAATTTCTGAGAGGAGAAGCCATCGGCAGTGCCAGCAGCAAGAGGAGACCTGCGAGACCCCAGCCTTCCCTGGGGGGCTTGCTGAGTGTGAGGGGTGACGAACAGGTTTCCCTGAGAGAAGGGGGACAAGGGGAGGGAGGCTGGCCACCCCACTTTGAGCACCTTCACACATCATGTGGTGTCGGGGCAGCTGCTTCTGAGGGTGGCCCCTCACAGATGACCCCAACAAATAGGGCAATGGGGGAACCCCACCACAAAGGGGGCAGTGGACAGCAGCAGAGAGCAGGTGGCTGGAGGGGGGCCCCCCGGTGGAACCTCCACTGTCAACACAAGGGAACCCAGAGTAGGGAATGCCTCCCGTTGAATGCATCCTTCATGTGCTTCTGAAAGCACCGGAGCGGCCTGCTCTGAATCCTGGTCGTTCCCTGTCAGGCAGGAGGGTGGCTGGGCCCCTGAACACGGGGCCCACGGGCACGCATGCTGCTCACCTGCTGAGACAGCGGGTGCCTTTGGACGCCGTGTGCAGACCCTGGGACCATGGAAGATGAGCTGGCTGAGGTGGGAGGCATGCGTCTCCTGCAGGCCTGCGACTGGGGCTTCCCTGCAGCCCCTCTGGGAGTGTCAGCAGGTGCGTGGGTGGTGCAGGCCTGGTGAGCCTCTGGCGGCTGGAGTCACCACAGCAGAGCGCCTCGTGTCAAACTGCTTTATTACGTCTTAAATAACAGCACAGTTTAATAGAGGGTCTATCTTGCATCCAGCTTCCTTGCAGTACAGACTTAAAATTAAATACAAAAGGTGAGAGGGGAGAGGGCGCAGAGCTCTACAGAGGTGTCTGACAGGAGGGGGGGGGGGCGGTCAGCTGTACTCTCATTGCCAGATCCAGGCCCGCGGCAGGTCACGGCACAGGTTCGTATGAGACGGCGTGCCACACGGGGAGAAGCCACAGCTCTGATGGAGGGTGGGGTGGGGGTGGCCATGGCTGCCATGGAGGGCACAGCTGTCCCCGTGAGGTGGCCAGGAGTAGCTGCGTGTCCCAGACGCACGGCCTCCGGTGCAGATGGCTTGATTCCCGGGAGGCCGTGCGTGGCGGACGTGGGGCACCTGGGCTCTCCACCCTCTCCCCCGGAGCCAACAGCAGCCGCCTGCGACAGGCCTGGGCTTTTTGCATTTTTGTCAGAAATAAAGGACACGGTGACTTCTCCCGCTAGCCAAGCGTGCAGAGCTGTGCTGCTTCCGCCATGTGCGCACGGGGCAGGCCACAACTGGGGCGGAGTCCTGTAAGAACTTCTGAGCATTTCTACAGCATGCGATTCTAAGAATAAACCCACCCAGTACGGCAAACAATCAGCTTTTTAAAATTTAACTTAGAAAGTCTGAGATCATTATTTCCAAACATTGATTTGTACATTGTTCAATACACAAGTAAGCGAGGCTGCCCAGGCACACCCGCGCACGCTGCTCGGGGCAGGCGGGCAGGCAGCGTGTGCCTGGCAACGAGAAACGGGGCTTCTGGGGAGCTACGGGACAGAAGTGGACACATCTAAGAAGGATAAGGATGCTTCCAGAACCCTGCTACAAACACAAGTGGAGTTCAGACATGGTTACAAGGTTGGTACACCTCAGCTCGCTTTGCGTGGACATCACAGAACAGGGTCACGGGTCTAAAACTGAAAGGAACCAATGGGAGGGTGTCTGCCTCAAACGACACTCCTTCGCCTCCTGGGTAACATTTTATTATACTATTTCCTCTTCAGATTCATTCAAGACAAGAAGGAAACACGATGGCCCCGGAAGGGATGCACAGCTGGCTCTGGTCGCCGGCACGCGGCCCTGCTCGGGGGTTGTGCTCTTGGTTCAGCGACGGGTGCAGGAAGGTCTTGCCCTTTTGAAATGCTGAGGGTGTGGGTGTCCACGCTAGTGTGGTCGGACGGGAGACGCGGTCACTGCGGCGCTTCAAGGTCGGAATGGTCTTCCAGTCACTGCGGTGGCCGCCTGTGTGTCAGACAGAGGGTTACCCGGGGCTGTGCCTGGTGCCACCTGCAGCCCGCTGGGGATGGGTGCCCAGTTTTACCTGCTGGCCTTAGTTCCAGATCTTGAGGAAGCTGTCCCAGGACCCCGTGGCCACGGCCATGCCATCATCGGTCACTCCGAGGCAGCTGACGCGGTTGTCATGACCAGCCAGGACACCTGGGAGGGAACACAGCTCCGTGACCTCCAGGCACCGGGCGGAAGCGCCCCCGGCAGCCTCTGGAGTCTGTCCCCGAGGCGGGGATGGGCTGGAACCCTGTTCCCCACCACTCACACGGACTCAATACTCATGGGCCACGCCTGGGGGGCCAGCATGGTGGCACAGTAGCTTAAGTCACCGCTTCTGGTGCTGGCATTCCCAGGAGAGCCGGTTCAGGGCCCAGCAGCTCTGGCAGCTCCCTACTGATACACCTGGAATGATGGTGGAAGATGGCCCGTGTGCCTGGGTGGACCTAGCTTCTGAGCCACTCAGGGTGAGATGCAGCAAGAGCAGCTCAAACAAGAATGACAACCACAATTAAGACAGAAGACCTGCGGTGCCACACGGAGCTGTGGGATAAGCTGCCGCTGGTGGTGCTGGCATCCAACTCCCTGCTGACGGCCTGGGAAGATGAGGCAGGCCAGAGAGCATGGAGACACGGACAGAGCTCCTGGCTCCTGCCCTCGCAGTGGTCTGGGAAATGACCCAGCTCTGCTTCCAAATGCTATGCCTAAGAGGGCGCAGCTGGAGTCCAGGTGGTGAGTCTGGATCATCAAATGGCTATGAATAAGTTTCTGTTTGTAATCCAAGGAGTGGGGAGACAGACACAGTGTTCCTATCTGCTTGTCCCCCCACAGACCACCAGGGAGCTGGGGGCTCCCGCACAGGGGACAGAGCACCGTGAGCCGCTGCCTTCCCAGGCCTGGATCACCCGGCACTCTGTAGGGAGCAGGGGACTGGGTGCCCAAGGAGGCTCAACCAATTGGCTCCTCGTAGGCCCCCAGGTGTCCTCTGCTCCCCCAGACTTGGTGGCTGCTCTGTGCGGGCAGCTCTAGGTTCCGGGTGGCAGGTGGCCCCGCGGAGGGCGGGGCCTTCCCCTCTGCCAATCATAGCCCACCCATGTGGGAGACCTGGCTTGTGTTCCGGGCCCAGTCCTGGGCACTGGGGGCATCTGGGGAGTGGACACTGGATAGGAAGATCTTTCTCCTCAAAAAGCAAGACAAGCAAACCCCAAAAAACCTTGAGAAGCTGTGTGTGGGGCAGATGCTGTGGCAGGGTGAGCTCAGGGCCCTGCCAACCAGTGCCAGCCAATGCCAGCCACTCCGCTTCTCATGCAGCTTCCGACCAACACACTGCCACGAGGAAGCCTCAGGAGGCGGCCTTGGCACTCAGCTGCTGCCCATCTCAGCTCTGGCTGTCGCTGCCGTTTGAGGGGCAAATTAGATCTCTCTCTTTCCTCTTCCCTTTATCCTATCATTTTGCTTTTCAAACTTATCAACTTAAAAGAGAATTCTGACGTCAAACAGGAAAGCATCTGCCCCAGGCGAGCCAGGCCCCCCTCGCTCCTCCCTGCCCGGCGCCTACCTGCCCTGTCGGCCTTGAGCGCGTCCCACACGTTGCAGTTGAAGTCATCGTACCCGGCCAGGAGGAGGCGGCCGCTCTTGGAGAAGGAGACGGAGGTGATGCCACAGATGATGTTGTCGTGGGAGTAGGTCATGAGCTCCTGGTCGGCGCGGAGGTCAAACAGCCTGCAGGTGGCATCGTCGGAACCGGTGGCAAACGCGTTGCCATTTGGAAAGAACTGTAAGGGGAAGCCGTCGAGAGCATGGGCCGGGTGGTCCCGGCGGGGAGGCAGGCAGGGGTGCTGGGACACATAACAGCGAGATGCGTCATCGCTAAGCAGCCGATCCTGCCCTGGCTGTCAGCCTGAGGTGGGACTTGTACAGGAAGGGGGATGGCAGGGCAACGACCAGCCCTGCGCTGACCAAAAAGTCCAGAAGCTTCCATGAGCCTGGCAGGCCAGAACACTGCTCTCAGCAGTTGTTCAGGTACCTCTCCTGTGGTCTCCAAGACACCCACTCAGGTCCTGGACAGGGGAAGAGCGTGGTCACAGGAGCACCACAGCCCAGCACCGGGAATGACAGCCAGCTGGCAGCAGAGGCCAGCAGCACCCAGCCAGGTTCCCTGCAGAGAGTTCTGAGTGCACCAGTGAGGGAGTGAGGGGCTGAGTGTGCCAGTGAGTGAGGGGCTGAGCGTGCCAGTGAGTGAGGGCTGAGCATGCCAGTGAGTGGGTGAGCGAGTGAGGGAGTCAGTGAGCATGCCAGTGAGTGAGTGCGTGAGGGCTGAGTGTGCCACTGAGTGAGTGAGGGCTGAGTGTGCCAGTGAGTGAGTGAGGGGCTGAGCGTGCCAGTGAGTGAGTGAGTGAGGGCTGAGTGTGCCACTGAGTCAGTGAGGGCTGAGTGTGCCAGTGAGTGAGTGAGGGGCTGAGCGTGCCAGTGAGTGAGTGAGTGAGGGCTGAGTGTGCCACTGAGTGAGTGAGGGGCTGAGCGTGCCAGTGAGTGGGTGAGTGAGTGAGCATGCCAGTGAGTGAGGGCGTGAGGGCTGAGTGTGCCACTGAATGAGTGAGGGCTGAGTGTGCCAGTGAGTGAGTGAGGGGCTGAGCGTGCCAGTGAGTGAGTGAGTGAGGGCTGAGTGTGCCACTGAGTGAGTGAGGGGCTGAGCGTGCCAGTGAGTGAGTGAGGGCTGAGTGTGCCACTGAGTGAGTGAGGGGCTGAGTGCACCAGTGAGTGAGGGGCTGCGTGTGCCACTGAGTGAGTGGGGGCCTGAACGAGCCCCCCGAGTAAGGCGGCACTCCCTGGAGGTATCTAACCGCTGGGCAGTGGGCACACTTACACAGATGGCATTGATGTCCGACTCGTGCCCGGTGAACGTCTGCCGGCACATCCCTTCTCGCACATCCCAGAGCTTGGCAGAAGCGTCACAAGCACCAGAGACAAACAGCCTGGTGTCAGGAGCGAGGGACAGGCTCATGACATCCCCAGTGTGGCCGGTGAAAGTGGTCGTCTGCTGCCCAGTCTCAATGTCCCACAGGGCACTGCATCGGGAGCAAAGGACAACGGGATGAGTCAGGTCAGAGCCCTGGCCGGGGGCTCGGTGTGAGGGGGCCCTCCCTTAGGTCAGAGCCCTGGCCGGGGGCTCGGTGTGAGGGGGCCCTCCCTTAGGTCAGAGCCCTGGCTGGGGGCTCAGTGTAAGGGGGCCTGCGGCTCGGCTCCCAGCACAGGTGCACGGCCCTCCCTCAGGTGCCATGCGCAGGCTCCTGTACGACCAGGAGGGGGAGGTGGGCGGCAGGATGCCGCTGACCCAGGCCCTGGAGGGAGAGACCAAGGCCATGCATAGCCGCTGCAAAGGCCTGATCTGCCTGTAGACGCGGGCTGCTCCGAGCACTCTGAGGTCCCTGTGTGTCCCTCCGGGGTCTGAAGCACAGGGCACTTTTGGGTTTCTGCTTCTCAGGATGACCAGAGGTGAGAGACCACCAGCACCTGCTTGGGCAGGAACGACTCAGAAGGCAGACTTGCAAGGTGACGGTCTCGGCTCTTTAGTAAACTGGCTGCTCACGTGTGCAAGAGGGATTCTAGAGATTACCAAGTGAGTGCGGAGTCAACAGAGACTCGACAGCTCTGCCAGGCTGCACTCCCCGCACGAATACCTGCTGTCCTCCACTGCAGCCAGGCCCTGCGCGAGGTGACGGACCCCTCACGGCGCCCGAGCCAGGGCCTGACGGGGTCCCAGGCCACTCCTGACCCAGCTCCCGGCTCAGCTGCGACTCTGCGAGGCAGACAGCTCTGGTACTTGGGGGCCCTGCTACTCATGTGGGTGACGCAGACTGGCTCTGGTCTGCCTGCTGCAAATCTGGGGGTGTGAACCACAAAAGCAAAGCCTCTTTCTTAGTGCCTTTTTTGTTGTTGTTGTTAAAGACTTATTTTTTGAAAAAGAGACGAGGGAGAGATCCTCCACCTGCTGGCTCCCTTCCAGATGGCCACAACGGCCAGGGCTGGGCCAGGCAGAAGCCAGGGGTCTTCCGGTGGTGCAGGAGCCCTGTACTCGGACCACCCTCTGCTGTGTGCCCAGGCCATAGCAGCGAACAGGTCAGAAGTAGGGCAGCCTGAACAAAAACCAGTGCCCAGTGAGATGCTGGCACTGCAGGTGGGAGTAGTACCCGCTATGCCACAATGGGTTCTGTGCTTCTGAAACAAATTTAAAACATCAAAAAAGGAAAATAAAGGCCCTGGCGCAATAGTGTAGTGGTTAAGGTCCTCGCCTTGAGCGCTCTGGAATCCCATATGGGCGCCAGTTCTAATCCCAGCAGCCCCATTTTCCATCCAGTTCCCTTGTGGCCTGGGAATGCATTCGAGATGGCCCAAAGCTTTGGGAGACCTGGAAGAAGTTCCTGGCTCCTGGCTTCAGATTGGCTCAGCTCCAGCCGTCATGGCCGCTTGGGGAGTGAACCATCGGATGGAAGATCTTCCTTTGTCCTCCTCTCTGTATATCCATCTTTCCAATAAAAAAAGTAAATTAAATAACAATAATAACTTTTTTTAAAAAAAGGAATATACAGAGAAAAGAATGCAGGCACTAGCTGAAGCTCCCTGTTAGCCACAGCTGGACGCATCTGACCGCGGGCTCGGCCGCTGCGGCTCGCTGCTCCGCACGAGGCCACACAGACGCCCAGAGAAGGGCGCGATGTGTCAGTGCAGACAGCTCTGACGGCCAGCCCCACGCACCGCAGGCCGGCCACTCACCATGTGGTGTCTCCGGAGCTGGTGACGATCTGATTGTCGTCCAGGAATCGGCAGCAGGACAGGTAACCTGGTGAATAACGCACGCGGACCATGGCTTACACCGAGCAGCCCAGTCCCACCGCTTTGAGCACGCACAAGCGACGCTCAGTACGAACACCCAGCACCCTGTGTGTCACTGTGTGTCGAGCAGACTACAGGACAATGACCACGGCCCCAGCGGCCACAGCAGAGCCGTGTCCTCACCCGGCACCTGCTGCCCCCTCTGCTGCCATGTTCACCACAAGGCAGGCTGGGACAGGTCCGCAGCGGGCCAGACGCAGCAGCCCTGGCAACCAGGGCAGATCTGGGACAAGGACAGAGAACAAAGGCACCCTCAAGGGCGGTCCATGGCCACCGAGGCTCCTGGAGCTGAAGGTCAGAGTCCTGGGCCCGGGGTGAGCATCAGGGCACACGGGACATCAGGGTCAAGTCCCAGCGCTTGTTCCTGATGCCATCTTGTGCCCTGGAAGGCAGCCCAGCACACTGTCAGTACCTGGGCTGACACCTGGCCGCCGCCGTCAGCCTGGCCCAGCCCTGACCACCGTAGGCATCCAGGGAGGGGACAACAGGCTGGTGTGCTCTCCTCGGCTCTGCTGCTCACACACTCTACACAGTGAGCTGACGAAGCTGCAGGGACGGGCACCACCCTCTTCTGATGGCAGTGACGCTGTGCCCAGTGGGGGAGGGGGCCCAGGCGGGCGGGGGGGGGGGGCTCACGGCTGCTGACACACAGAGGGACACATGTGGATGCCCACCTGAGCAGTTTGGGAATGAGCAATGCAATGTGGGCGTGTCCATACGACTCCCCACTGGGAACCCTGCTTCTCCCTGGAACCCTGCTATCCCTGGCGTGAGCTCTACTCAGTGACCCCAGGTCAGTGTCCGGCACACAGAGATGAAAAGCACATGGCCAGCAAACCCCCTGCTGCGAGGCCTGGCCGCTGGCAAGGACCCACCACTTGGTCAGGTGGTGACTTGTTGGGGCTTTGTGCCCCGCACAGCTGGGACCCCAGTGCAGAGTACAAGAACATAGGACAACATGGGACCACAGCGTGGCCCCGCAGCTCTCAGGAGGACTGTGGGTCGAGCATTGAAGCAAAGTGACCCCACACTGATCCCATAGCCTGACCTGGGAGCAGAGCCTGATCCCCTGAGCACAGGGCCTCCCTAGCCAGAGGAGCCCACAGGGCATCTGCCAGCAGGCAGAGCAGCAGCGACCTGAGCCACTGCTAGTCAGTCCCAGGCCCGTGCGTGGAGCCAGGCCTGCTGCAGGGATAGCGTCCAGCCCTGTGGGCAACAGGATCAGCAGGAACATCTAGAGGGGCACCCAGGAACCGGCTGGCACACAGACCGATGGACAACCTGCAGCTCTCCAGGAAAAACAGGGGCGAGAGAGAATCACCCCGGACAGCATAGGGCAGAGCAGGGTTCTAAAGGAAACGCTGAATGAACTTTCCAGAAAGCTCGCGGGCTCCCAGGGTCCAGCATTGTGGTGCAGTGCTTTGAGCCTTGCCACATGGGTACTTCCGGCCCCCTGCTGATGTGCCTAGGAACAGGGAAGGTGGCGGAAGCACCCGGCAGACCCGAATGGAGCCCCTGGCTCCTGGCTGCTGTGCCCATTTCAGGAATGAACCAGTGGCTCTCTTTCTAAGACAGGAGTTGGAGGCAGGGTCTCGGAGCCTCACTCTGCCAGTGGCAGATGCTGCCAGGATGGTGAGGCCCAGGAGGAAAGTCCTTCTTTGCTGCATCTGTTCAGCTGGTTAGTTTGGAACGCAGCTGTCTGCTGAAGAAGGGGCAGTAGCAGCAGTATTTGTTTCACTAATTGCCACAGCTTCCTGGGCTGCATGGTGAAACAGCAAGTCGGGGCAGTGTCGCCATGGGAACAGCAAGTGGGGCAGTGTCGCCGTGGGAACAGCAAGTCGGGGCAGTGTCGCCGTGGGAACAGCAAGTCGGGGCAGTGTCGCTGTGGGAACAGCAAGTTGGGGCAATGCCACCATGGGAACAGCAAGTCAGGGCAGTGCCACCATGGGAACAGCAAGTCAGGGCAGTGGGGCAGTGTCACCATGGGAACAGCAAATTGGTGGAGTGTCACTGTGGGAACAGCAAGTCGGGGCAGTGTCACCATGGGAACAGCAAATTGGTGGAGTGTCGCTGTGGGAACAGCAAGTCGGGGCAGTGTCACCATGGGAACAGCAAATTGGTGGAGTGTCGCTGTGGGAACAGCAAGTTGGGGCAGTGTCGCTGTGGGAACAGCAGCCAGGGCAAGGGGTGGAGTCCTCCCCCGCTTCCCCTTAGTACCTCATGAGCTCAATCTTAGCCACCCCAGAAAATGTTTTTAACTGGTGTTTTCTGACAATACACAATTTGCACAATGTAATGAGGCCTCATTCACCTTTCAAAATGTTTACGCCAAAATTGCCTCATCTTTAGCTTGCTGACCATGAACCTTGCAATGCGGCCCACACCCAGGAGCTGAGACCATGTGTCGTGCAGGGACACCTGGCGCCTGCCAGTGGCATCGAAACCCATCTGTGTGGCAGCCAGAAGCACACTCAGCACCTAGGAGCAGCCCCGCCTGGCCTCCGTGGCTACATGGCTCACTGTGAATGCAGCGAGCAGCGACACCCCAAAATAGGAGACTGTGTGGCTCACATCTACATGGTGCTTTTCTGGAATATCTGACCCTCCCTCTAGCTTGTTCGCAATAATCTAAGGATGGGTAAGAGGAGCTCTGGGGTGTCCCGGGTGCTGCACACCGCCTCCTCGGGAAGGGGCGCTCTGGGGTGTCCCGGGTGCTGCACACCGCCTCCTCGGGAAGGGGCGCTCTGGGGTGTCCCGGGTGCTGCACACCGCCTCCTCGGGAAGGGGCGCTCTGGGGTGTCTCAGGTGCTGCACACCGCCTCCTCGGGAAGGGGCGCTCTGGGGTGTCCCGGGTGCTGCACACGGCCTCCATGGGAAGGGGCGCTCTGGGGTGTCCCGGGTGCTGCACACGGCCTCCATGGGAAGGGGCGCTCTGGGGTGTCTCAGGTGCTGCACACGGCCTCCTCGGGAAGGGGCGCTCTGGGGTGTCCCGGGTGCTGCACACGGCCTCCATGGGAAGGGGCGCTCTGGGGTGTCCTGGGTGCTGCACACGGCCTCCATGGGAAGGGGCGCTCTGGGGTGTCCTGGGTGCTGCACACGGCCTCCTCGGGAAGGGGCGCTCTGGGGTGTCTCGGGTGCTGCACACGGCCTCCATGGGAAGGGGCGCTCTGGGGTGTCCCGGGTGCTGCACACGGCCTCCATGGGAAGGGGCGCTCTGGGGTGTCTCATGTGCTGCACACGGCCTCCATGGGAAGAGGGTGAGGTGGCGCACCTGTATGCCCAGCCAGCTCACGACTCACGCGGACGTTCCCTTCGCGAGTTTTCAAATTGTAGATGGAGCAGATGTTGTCCAGACCACCACAGGCCACGTAATTGCCAGACGGGGCGTACGCACAGGTCATGACCCAGGAAGAGCGCAGAGGGATGGCATGCACCTGGAGGCGGGGACACGGCGAACAGATGCTTCCCAGGTCAAATGCGAACCCCTCCCCCGCCAAGGACCCCAAGTTTATCGCGGTCATCAGCACCCACAAAGCACGACTAGGAGACTCAGCATTGGACTGCTGACCCACAGGGGGCTCACCACACTCACAGCCCCACACCAACGGAGCAGAGGGCACGTGGCCGCTGTGTGTCTTGTGAATGCACAAAACAGCCATTTCCATCTTGGAAATCACCATCACCCGCTTGGCCACAGCCATGCTAGACTCCAGCTGGACCGGCCCTAAATCTCCCAAAAGTTTCTGCCCTCTCCCCTACCCAGGAAAACGCATCCAAATTGGATGCTCACATGCATGTTAAACAAATTATTGCACTTCTATAATAAACAACTCTGGATTAAATTTTTCAAAGGTTTAATTTCTATCTCACAGCAGAATGCCCCTCAGAGTGAGCCGAGCATGCTCCGAATGGTCAGTGTCAGCTCAGGAGATGCTGAGTGCTCACCTCCTCTCTGCAGTGCCAGCTCAGCCTGTCCAGGCGAGACCCAGCGGCTCTGTCACCAACACACAGAGTCTGGGAGTAGGCATTTAGCTCAGGGGGCAGGACCCTCCAGCCCAGCTCAGAGTGCCTCGCGCCAACACCAGCTCCATTCAGGATATGCCTGTGGCTGACGCTGGCAAACTGGGAGGCCCAGATTGAGACTCTGACTCATGGCTCAGGTCTCAGCCCAGCCCCAGCAGACATTTGGGGGCGACCCATGAGAGACGGGCCACCTGTCATCTCCCCTAGTGCCCAGCACTGCCTGGTGAACACACTCAGAATCTGCCGCCTTGTCCTGCCTGGCTCTGCAAGGAGGGCCCCCTTGCCCCACCTACCTTGTTTGTGGTGTAGCTGTCCCAGATGATAAGCTTGCCATCCTGGGAGGCGCTGACGAGCAGCCTGTAGAGAGAAGACACACGAGTCAGCTGAGCCTCGGCCCAGAGTGGCAGGCGTGATACCACGGCCAATGCCTGTTCAGGGGGTGGATAAGGACCACCACATTCCTGCTCCTGGTCGGGAATGAACGGATTGGGATCTGTCCCAGCTCGCAGCACCGGGGACCCTCTCCACCTGAGCTGCAGCTGGAGTGGGGGGGAGGGGGGGCCAGGGAGCATCAGGAGGTGCTGGCTGCCCACTGGGCTAGGGAGCAGTGCAAGACAGGCAGCCAGAAGCCTCGACATGAAGAAATGGAGCTCGGATCCGACCCAGGTGCCGTGCCGTGGGATGCAGGCTGTACACCAGCCCTGAAATGCCACGTTCCCTGGGCCCAAGGCTGCCCACAGACTCTCAGGATGGTCACAGTGAACCCTGCGACTCAATAGCAACACCTCTCAATATGACAAAGCAGAGACCACATCCAGTCCACAGGAAGCTGGGCTCCCGGCCGGTTAGAAGGTGATGGCCCCTGCAGGGGGGACAAGGAGCAGCGGAGGCCAGAACCTTCCAGGGCAGCGAAACTCGGAGCAAGCTCGTAATCCGTCGTCTACGACTTATTTATTTATTATTTGAAAGAGAGAGGCAGAAACAGCTATTCCACCCTCTGGTTCACTCTCCAGATGGCCGCAACAGCCAGGGCTGGGCCAGGGGATTCCTCCAGGTCGCCCAGGCGGGTGCAGGGGCCAAGCACCATCCTCCGCTGCTTTTCCAGGCCACTAACAGGGAGCTGGATGGGAAGGGAAGTAGCCAGGACACGAACTGGAACAAGTGGCAGCTTAACTCGCAGTGCCACAGTGGCAGGTACCAGCAGCAATTCCTCCACGGCTGCAGACAGCGCGGGCAGGGTCACCTTCAGGAGCTCTGGGGGCACGTGGCTTAATAATTGCTGACTGCTGAGTGGGGAGTCAGCGGGGATAAGTCCCTAATCCCAGGGGTGGAAGAAGACACCTCCTCACCTGCAGTCAGGGAACGAGGCCTGTGTCTGTTCACTGGCCAGTTCACCGAGACGCCACCCACACAGAGCACAGTGTGAGGGGCTGGAAGTTAGCCACACAGCTCCAGGCCCCGTACGTGTGTGTGTACGTACGTACACACACACACACACACACACACACACACACACACACACACACACACACACACACACACACACACACACACACACACACACACACACACACACACACACACACACACACACACACACACACACACACACACACACACACACACACCCCACCACCCCCCCCAGGCCCTGCCTCTGGTGTGTGTCACCTGGTAATCTCTCCACCCATGCACAACTGCAGCCTGGGAGAGGAACGGCCCAGCAGAGCCCTGACCCTCAGTGACCCTAAGTGACAGAGGACCCTTGAAATGCCAGTGACCGCAGGGCCTCACAGCCTGCACTCCTGTTCTCAGCCCAACTCCGCTCCCCGAGATACAGCAAGGGATGGGCCGAGGGCCTGGGGTCCTGGTCCCCACACAGGGACCCGAGTGTCAGTCAGTCAGCCCCGTCCTCGATGTCACAGGGATCCGGGGAGTGAGCCCATGACAGAACTGTGCTCCCTTGTCCCACCCACCTCTTTGTGGCGGGCACTCCTGGGAAGTGGGCATGTGGTAACAAGGCCTGCACCATCCTGCACTCAGGTCGGCCTCCTGCTCCTGGCTCATCACCCCGATCTCCCAGCAAGGCAGACCCCGGGACACTCCCTAACAGCTCCTTGCCACCCTGGGGAGACCTATGCTGAGGCCCAGCCCGGCCTTTGGGAAGTCGACCAAGACGGAAGCCCAGCTGTGTTCAACCGAAGCCTGGGAGAAGTCCCAGTGAGCGGGCAGCCTTGAGCTGTGGGCCACAGGCAGTGAATGGCAGCTGCCCGCCAGCCGACTCCCGTGGACCCGCCCTCAGTGCAGCGCCCACCCCGCTCCCCGCTGCCTTCTGTGTGGGCTGACTGCTGCATCCGTAAAGCACTGGAGCTCACATCTGCACGTGAACTTGTATGGGACACTGTACACAACAAACTCAAGATAGAATCCTTTGTCCCCAGGCTCTCTGCTCCAAAGCAGACATGTTTCTGCGAGAGCAGAGACAAGCAAACACAGGCCCCCAGACGCCTCCTCAGAGCGCAGGGAGCTGGGGCAGAGCACATGCAGGGAAGTGGACTCACAGGGTCCTCTGAAGGACAGAGCGCGGCAGATGTCACTTTATTAGCACCCACAGTGATGCCACACAACAGCCCAAGGCAGGTGGGGCAGGACACAGAGGCAACGGGGTCAGGGGAACGGCCCAGATGAGGGGCGACAGTGAGCCCCAGGAACCTCAGCCTACACTGACCCCACAGCTGTAGTTTCAGGGTTCACCCCGTTCCTCTGCAGCCCCTGGAGTGGGGCCGAAAGGCACAAGTGAGAGACGCACAGAGCCATTAGGTGACTGTCTCAAGGTCATGCGAGGACACAGTGGCACTGACAGAGTTGAGTCCAGCAGCGGAAGGGAAGAGGGCAGTGTGCAGGGAGCCTGGGCCTCCAGGCAGCTGCCCACGCCCCGGGGCCGGACACACACAGACCTGCCCGCTGACCCCTTCCTCCTGTCCTCACACACACACGCTGGAAGCACTGCTTACCTCGAGTCCGTGCCCCAGTGCATGGCGTAAATCTTGGCCAGGTGCCCCCTCAGCGTCCTCCTGGTACGCATCTGGATCCGTCCCACGGGGTCGATGTTGTTTGTGATCTTAAAATGAATGTTGGCGGGTTAAGTGGGCGCGGTTCTCCCAGCAGCCAGGGCCCAGCCCTCACTGCCTCTAGCTAGGCCCCAAGCCTCTCTCCCACCCCCGGCACAGGCAGGGTGTGGCCGGATGGACTCCCAGCTGGCCTGCCCCCGCTTCGGGGTGGGGGTGACTAGCCTGGGTGCCGCACTTGCTCCCTGCTCACACTTTTTTGTGGCCACCACGGCCATCAGATCACGACCCCTCCATAGATACCACCCAGCTCCCATCACCTCCTCACGGGGTCACCACTTGAGCTCAGCTCTACACCACCCCTCCTGGCTGTGTACATCGACTGAACAGACTTCTCTGAAAGCAGCTTTCCACATGCAGCCCTAGAATGGCCAGGTCACGGGCCTGAGAAGCCCAGTTCCGAGGCGGCTTCTGGTCATGTGGACAACCCCTCAGCAGGTGCACGGCTGCCGCCGGGCTGGCACAATCACAGCTGCACTCTGCCGGGCCTGTCCCTAGGGTGGCCCCCGCACTGGCCGCGGGGCTCGGGTTCCAGAGGCTCCAGGCCGTTGGCAGCCCTTACCTGAGAGAGGGTCGCGTCTGCACAGGCCTTTCTGGCATCCTGGAAGGGACAACAGGAGGTTAGGATGTCAAACCCCTTCCTGTGAAGAGCTGCGGTGTGGAGGGGCGGCCCTCACTGTCCCGGGGCGGAGGGGGCTCAGCAGACAGCCAGGGAGAGCTTCGCTGAACTCAGACAAGACAGAAGAGCATGCGGGGTCCGCAGCCAGGCCACACACTCGGCTGCCAGACGCTGCGCCATGCGACACCAGCAACCCGTATGGTTACAAGTCTGAGACCAGCTGCTCCACTTCCAATCCGGCTTCCTGCAGATGCACTTGGGAAAGCAACAGGAATCGGCCCAAGAGCTTAGGCCCTGCATGGGAGACCTGGAGAAGCTGCTGGTTCCGAAGTCACACACCAACACAGTGGCCAGGAGGCTCACAAAAACTCACAACCAGAGTTGAGACAATGGTACAAAACGGTAACAGGTTATACAGAAGATAACATCCTGAAACTGTGCTCGGCCACCAACTGTCTAGAGCCACAATTAGCCTGCACTGGACCAAGCAAGACCCAGTGCCATTTCCAAGCCCGCCCGCTCGCTGCAACGGGTCCTCCCGAGATGGCCAAGGAGCCAGAGAGACTCGCCACGCACCCGGATTTGGTTCTTCAGCTGCTCGGCCTCCTGCCGCAACTGGTCGAGTTCGCTCATCTTCCAACCTCGGTGCTCCTTGGTGCAACCTCAAAGAATCCGGGACCTGTGGTGGAAAACACAGCGACACTCAGAGAAGACGAGCAGTGACGAAGCCAGCACCGAGTCCCTGACTTCCAGCAGCATTTTCTGCACAGGTCTGGGACCCCTAACAGAATGAGGGGCAGTGCTGAGAGGGGCAGCGCTGAGGGTCCACGCACAGCTGTCCCAGCAGCCAGGACCCGTGAGAAGACGTCTCAAAAGGCTGACCCTGTAGCGTCAAGAGGACACAAGCAAATGTCCAGTGTCGGATTCAGGGACAACCCTCTCCTGCCCACACAGCTCTCGGTTCATCCTCAGGGACACCAGTGCTGCAGCTGGCGGGCTTAACCCACTGTGCCACAGCAGCTGCACAAGCCAAGGGCGACCACAGGCTGTGGGAGGTGGCAGACCTTTCAGCCACTCGAGCACGTGGCTGAGGACAATCATGATGCCCTGGGTCCATTACGCAAGGCACCAGGACACCATTGCATGTCCCATTTCAAGGCCAAAGGGCGCAGGCTAGCACAGTGGTACATCTGGCAGAGCCACATGGGCCCTGACCAGTGTGTTGGCTCACGACTTCCTCCAACCTGCTTCCTATCCAACTCCCTGCTCACGTGCCCAGGAAGGGCTGAGACGATGGGCTGACCATCTGGGTCCCCACTGCCCACGTGGGAAACCCAGCGGAGCTCATGGCTGCCCAGGCCTGGCTGGGGGGCGGCTTCAAGAGCTAAGTCAGCAGACGTGGGATGTGTGTCTCTTTCTGTACTCCAAATAAATCTTAACAACAACAACAAACACCAAGGTGCTGAAGCAGGGAATATACTCAGCAGGAAATATCTCGGTGACTGTCCGTGTCCTCCAGACGACACACAAGCCTTAGCTGCCAAGTCCCGGATCCAAGTACTCCTATTTGTGCACAAACGCATTATCATCCTGGGAGATCTACTCCAACCACGACGAGGCAAGAACATCTCCCCGCACCAAACACTGCTGTGCGAGGCCTGTGGCCAGCACGCCAAAGGCAGCTGCACAGCCTCCAGCAAGGGTGAGGGCCAGGTCCCCTAGCCCCACTGGAGTCTGCAGAGCTACCAAGGCAGCCCCCAGGACAGGGCGACAAGAGGACGCAAGGCAGACGGCGCATGCTTCAGGCTGCAAAGCAAAGGACAGAGCCAGCCTTAGCCTTGCTGGGCGGGCACGGCAAAGGCCACGCCGTGAGGACAGGCCCCTGCTTCTGGCTTCACACATCACTCGCAGGACAATCTGCAGGACCACCTGGACCAAGAGAACACCCAGGTGCTGGCCTGGACACACCGCGGGTGGGGCTCATCTCCACAGACCTCCCAGCAAACCTCAGACTGCCCGAGACTCACGCTCAGGACCAACATGTGCACACGGAGCGATCTGAGCAGGGAGAAGAGCGGGCAGGCCGCTCCCCAGCTCTGGGCTAGATACAGGGATGAGCAGCATCCAGCAGCAACCGTGTTGGGACAACATGAGGGGTCTGCGTGCCCTCCGTCCACGCACACACACACGAGGACGAGAAGTCTGCTGTTGGGCACTGAAGACATTCAACATGCAGACCAGAGAACATAATTTTCAACAAGTCAGAAAGGCCTGACAACAGACTGGTCTCATTCGCTCTTTCCCTCCTGCGCTGCACACCGCGCCTCAAGGAAGTGGGTTCTGGCCTCGGGATGGGGAGCATCATGCACCCAGGACTGAACAGGCAGCAAGAAACTCGCCACACCCTGCAAATTCTCCCCAACGTCCCGGCCACCCCACCCACCCTGGAGAGGCTCAGGCTGGGCCATCAGCCGCACTTCATGGTGCCTGGAGGACCAGGGGGAGCCCAGGCGACAGGGTCAGTGGTGCAGCACGCCCAGGAAGGGGCAGCTCTCTGTCCCCCGGCACCAGCACCGGACACGGTTAGCTCTGCCTCATTGAGAGCAAACAGGCCCGTGGGCCCAAGGAGCACTGACCCTTCCTGCACACGCTCGGTGTTGTGTTAAAGCAGCAGCCCCAAGCCTTCCCCAGCTCCGGGACCAGCCGTGCGGCCAGCTGGGGACGCCTGGAGATGCCAAGGCTCACGCGGCACCCCTGCCCAGCCGTGTGGCACCACTACTCCGACAGCAAGAACAAGCATTTGCTGAGGCAGACTTACGCTTTTTCGCGCCTGCTTTTCTCTTCACTCTCCTGGTACCCCCAACCTTCTGGGCACCCCATCAAGCCTCCACGTCCTCAGCCAATGTCAGAGCTAAGCGCCGGCCCTGCTGACGTGGCACACCTGTGGCTCATCCGCTAAGCTGGGACCTGCTGAGCCCTCACAGCTGCCTGGGCTGACCTACATTCCCGGGGGGCCTCGCCGCTCTCCCCTCCACAAACTCCTAGCAAGTCACGGGCACCTGGGGTGCATACCACCCCGCTGACTGTCTGCTCCCTGCCCAGTGTCACGGGCAGCAGCACAGGACACCCCAGAACCCAGCAGCAGCTCCCAAGACACACACGACAGACAGGTGTAAGGGTTAGGCCTTATTGTAAGCTCTGGCTCGAACACAGGTGTGACTGTTGCCCAATCAGTTTATCTAATCTATTCGTGCAGATGAGCGCTGGGGTCACCTACAGCACTGGCCTACGGGGAGAACGGAACCAGACATCGGATCAGGACGTGACTGTAAGCCTCCCAGCGGCTAAGCCAAGGTCAAGGACCAACCTCAGGGCACTGGAACACTCGCCCATCAAGCACACACAGGGCACTGTAACACTCACCCAGCAACCACACACAGCACACACCCAGGGCACTGTAACACTTGCCCATCAACCACAGCACACTCAGGGCTCCCAGCCACACTGTCCACAAGCCTGAACACCCTACTGAGCCCCGAGCAGCACCTGTGCCAGGCTGCACTGATCGGTCAGCTCACAGGTCCCCTTGCCAGCCACAGGCCCACGTGCAGGAGACTCAGTGAATGCACCAGTCTGTCTTCCAGTCTGGCACTTCAGGCTGCACTCCCCTCCTGGCTCTGCCAGAGTCCCCCTCCAGCCCCTCCTGGTGCGCGCTGGGCAAGAAGCACTGAGGACTGGGTGGCTGAGTCCTTCACTCACACGGGAGACCCAGAGGAGATTTGGGCTCTCAGCTTGGGCCGGCGCCACCCATGATGTCCACCCAGATGTGGACATGCATAACCAGCGGGTGGAAAGAACCTGTTTCTCTGCCTTCTCAATAACATAACCCTATAACCAGGCACAGCAAGTGGGCGACGTCAGAGGGTAAGAGCAGCCGATGCTGCACCACAAGCTCCCGGGGGCAGGGGGTGGCTCTGCACGGTGCTGAGAGGGTCTGACCAGATACCAGGGAACCTGACCGAGGACCAACTGGGCACGTTTCAGATGCGGTAACTGAACAGGTCTTATTATTAAAGGTGTCACGTGTGTAATGACCTCCACCAACCCGGCAGAGGGACAGGCCACCCCTAGAGAGACCCATCCCCCACATCTGGGACCTGGGAGGCAGCTGAGCGGTGCAAGCACATGGGGCCCCTGCCCACATGGAGACCTAGCTGCCTGGGCCTCTTGGCTGTGGCCCAACCCCGACCTGGTAATGTGGGCCTTGGGCGAGTGAACCACCGATGACAAACTCTCCCAAATAGTAACAAATAAACCTAAGTGAACATACCAAACGCCAGGCTGGAAAGGGGCCTGAGCAGGTCAGTAACCATCAGGTGACCGGGCTAGGTATGCACTTCATCAAACCAGCTAATTCCAGCAGTGGGTCCCTTAGCTGACGGGCTGCACCCCGCATGCTCCACGGGAAGGCCTGGGCGACAGCTCCCGGCTCCAGGTCAGTTGGCCTGACATTGGCCAATGGCAGCATCGGGGAGTGGGGCACTGGATGGGCATTCCACCTGCGCCTCCCAAAGAAATACACAGAGAAAGGAGTTCTTTCAAACCCAGACACCCTCTTCAGAGAAAATCGGGGCTGATTCACGGTGACATGAAGCGAGGGGCCTCCGTCTCAGCTGCGCCACCTCTGATCGAGCCCCTGCTGGTGGCCTGGCAAAGCAGTAAGGATGGCCCAAAGCCCTGGGGCCGCGCACCCACAGGGGACACTCCAAAGAAGCGCCTGGCTCCTGGCTCCGGATTGGCTCAGCTCTGGCTCTTGTGGCCACTGGGAAGTGAACCAGCAGCTAGAAGATTTTTCTGTTTCTCTTCTCTGTATATCTGCCTTTCCAATAAAAAAAAATAAATAAATAAATCTTAAAAAAAAAAATCCTAAGCCAAAGCAGCGCTTGTCAACACCATCAGCCACACGGCACTCACTCCGCACCGTGTGACCGCGGGAGCAGGCAAGGCTGGGCAAACGGAGCGGGCACGGCGAGGAGGCTGGCAGCACCGGCCCATCCCCAGCGTCTCCATGCAGGCTTCCCGTAATGGCACAATCCGAGGGCGTGACGGGCACCCACCCAGGAGGGTCCCACAGGGAACTGAAGCCACAGCGCGCTGTGGCACAGCCACCACACACCTGGCCCTGTCCACTGCATGAGCGGTCATGAACAAAGCCAGGTTCTTTACTGGCCCCAGCAGAGCCCGTACCTGCTGGCCGGAGGCGTCCGTGACAGGGTCCTTCAGGAGCCGCCCTTCCTGTGCTCCTCTCTGCCTTTTCTTTCTAGAATAACTTACGTTAGGTGAGATCCCTCAGTTGGCCCAAACCAGGAACTTCCTCAGAGCCTCCGTGCGGGCCCAAGCACCTGTGTCTTCCGGCAGCGTTTTCCCAGGTGCACGGGCAGGGAGCTGACAGCAGCGGAGGAGCCAAGATCCAAACACGGCAGTGTGACAGGCAGACGAGCCAGCCCTGCGCGCAGGTGCAGAACTTTGCACGGGCCCTTAGGGAACTCTGAGTACACGGGCAGGCATGGTCGTTCCCTTCCTGCAGACCACTGGGACCATGGCCTTGACCGTGGGCTATGGAGGGACGGAAGGCCCTTCAGGGGAGCATGGGTCTCTCAGTACTGAGTCCTGCGCACT